CTTTTTAATAACCTCATCGAGTATCTGTACAAAATTAGGCCAAATAGCTGGCCGTGAAACGCAGCATACCAGCTACAGCGAATGAGAAAACACGTTCGTTTATAAATTGCACTAATGATGTACACCAACAAGTCAGACAGGGCATGCCGTGCTTGAGAGGAACATTTTTATCAAAGTGAAATAACCAACCATAAAATAAAGGGATGTCTCTATTAGGTCACCGCATCAGTCGTGGCCATTAAACCAAGCCGCCCTGCATCGTACGGAGAGTTCAAAGATGTGGAGAATGAAACATAAGATTTTATCTAAATGTATCTAACACGGATGATCCATCATTAGTAAGACTTCATCTGAGTTTCAGTAAAGAGAGGATCTCCTAAATAAAGGCAATTAAAAGAGAATCTATTTAAAACCAAATGACAAGACAGAGGGCACATTAAACATGTGTGTGTATGTGTGTAGGGACTGGGATGGTATCTATGTCTCCAATGTGGCAACAGTTATTTATCTCAGCCCAGCTACTCATTAATGGGTCTGTAGCTCTCTGGCACCACAAGGATTTATAGGACCACAGCAATCAATACACTGAGGCAGAAAAGTGTGTCTGTGTCTCTACACAGTTGAGCGTGCACGTTTGTTTGTGTGACTTAGTTTTTGGTTAGTGAGCCCGAGGACCGGATTTGGGTATTTAGGATTTTCCGTAAAAGGGATAGAACAGAACAAAACAAAAGACCTATGACATGGACCACTTTAAAACAAAGCAATTGTAATTATTCACATAGAAGGGGAACAAAAGCTTGGCAATGCTACAGTTTCTCAACAAAAAATCATTTACCTTAGTGCTTCTTTAAAGACACAGTGTGTAGGATTTTGTCAATTCTTTTAGCCGAAATTGAAATAATCACTAATGACAATTATAAAAAAAAAAACATGTATAATCATTGCAGACAAAGACCTTGTTTTATTATTTTTACCTTATAAAAAGCTGTTTATATCTCCATGGTCGCGGGTCGCCACACAGGCAGCCGCCATCTTGCACCGCCATCTTGCACCGCCATCTTGTCTACGAAGGCTCATGAAGGACAAACTGCGGTGGCGGTGTCAAAAACGGTTTTAGTTGTAATACTATAAATGTAATATTTGTTGTCTTTGTCTGTCATTGTAGCTGGGATAATTTTACTTATTAAAGCTCATAATCTTACCACTTGAAACATCACTAGCCCTGAAGCTGCTGGTAGACATCGCGGTTGGAATTATCAAAGGTTTTTGACACCTGAGAGACACCATAGCAACTCCTTTGTGTTTGGAAGGGGGTGGGGGTGGGGGGAGGACCAGGGAGGATGATTCATCCACTAGATGTCGCTGAAAACAACAAATCCTACACACTGTGCCTTTAAAGGATAATGTAAATGCACAGTTGATGCTGAATTTTAATACAATCCATAGTGCAGACATACTGTCTCAAACCTAAGCTTATATTATGTTCAGCAAACCATACATTTTTGTTCATCTAGCAAAACGCATTATTTTTTCCTTATGTAAATGTGTATTACCATCTGCTGGCAGTACTGTATGCAGACTACTTAATCTGCTCCACCATAGTAATAGAAAAATATCTGTGGATTTCTGCAGAGATGTTGCAAGAACTCAATTACTATCAATAGTGTAAAATGGGGAACGACTTGTGAAATAGCTGTGATCAAATGTAAACATCAGTTTAAACAGATGTGACATAAACTGACGTTAAAACATTTTTTTCTCCACGGAACATAAAGTATTAAGGTAAACACCAAGCTGAGCTGCTGCTTCAGACAAGCTTTACATTACATTCATTACTAGTGCTGTCCCAATACCTGCATTTTTACAAGTTCGTTTACTCATTCAAAACGCCCCGATACCTGGAACCGATACCATTCATTTTGAGGGGACATTTAAAATGCAACCTCCATTGGAATCCAGTGTGAATGCTTGATGCTGTCGATGCGATACACACTTCCAGCATGCTGTTTATAGGAGGAAACAGGACTTTACGTATGGATGCTGAATGTTAGCATGTCAGTTCTGAAGTTGCAGTACAATCAGAGCCGGTGTAAAAAAAATGATCCAACATGCTTGTTTAGCCCAACAAAATCTGAGGTACAAGTACTGGCAGGAAAAATACAGTAAGGGAGAATCCCCGCTGTTTTCCACCATGTGGCACTTCTGTCTTTTCATGTAGCTAAAACACAATTTCAGGATTCAACATTTGCCAAGTTTTTCTAAACTCTCAGTGCAGAGAAGCAGAATAATCTGTTTCATCATCATCTGTATGCTCCTGTGGTAATGTAATTATCCTGATGTTAAATGAGTGTCTGCCCAACTGGCTTCATCAGATGGTTCTTCCACAGACCCCCAGTGAGCGGGGCACCCACCCATGACCAGCTCTAATTTGTAACTGCGGTCGGTTTATGATATCGATGCTAATAAAAGCTGATATTCAATTAACTGACCGAATGAGAGCCGACTGGCCAGGGACAGGGGACCAAAAGCAATAAACTATTCATTTTAACAAATCATTAAGTTTGACTTTTAACAAGTGACATGACAAATAAATTAGCTTCAGCAGATTTAATGGTTTTGCTTGTATAAGTTAAACTGAAAAGCCAGCAGCAGTGTTGACATTGTGGTAAATAAATAAAGGAAACTGGGACCATGCAACAAGTTGATCGGACTTTTCCCAATAAACTTTCTGCCAGCTTACATTTCCAGATAACTTTACAAACATGAACCAAGTTGTTCAAATGGCCCCTGCTTTGCTATAGATTTGATTACAACCCGATCTATCTTGTCGACCTTCTGTGTGCATTTCAACATGAAAAAGAGAATTTTCTTTGTAAGTTTAACTGTGGTCATTACAGAGATTTATAAAGATGCTTGTATGGCTTCAGTTATGTCAAATCTGCAGAATCTGATCACTGACAGAACAGCAGAAAAAGATTCTGCTTTTAACAATGGAAGAAACACTTTTGCTTTTCTCCAGCTTGTCCTTTTTGACCTGACTAATTAAATTTTCCTTGTTTACCCAGTCACCTAGTAAATTATACATATTTTAAAAAAACTTCAGTTTTTCTAATGTTGCACCTTTTTATGATCTGTATCCCTTTACTTTTACTGGCTATACAGATAAGGTGTTTAAATTTTTACCTCAGTTGATGGAAGACGATGCTGATGCTGATGCTGATGCTGATGAGGAGAACGATGAGTGAGATGAGTGAGATGATAATGAGCATCATGCTGGCGATGACAACACAAATGATGATTTAATTACAGACTGAGGAGAAGTAGAATTGAAAAGTATTACTCTTTTGGCATTTCAATGATAATCACATGATGCTGTTTCTGTCAGTTTAAAAACCTATTTTGTTCTATGTAGACTGTTTGACACAGGTACTCAAATTATTCAGCTTATGTTAAATATATGGTTGGAAAGACAACTAAAACTCTTAAAGCCGTGATGCTGTCTTCATATGGATGCATAAAAATACAGAAAATAAATGTTTATTTAGGGGCTTATTTGTGCAAATAAACTGTAGAGGAATACATTGGACTAAATAAAGTGGAATCCATTTCAAATATCCTTTTTTTCAGGAGGGGGGGGGGGTATTTTTTTGAAAAATGCACATTAACCATAAAGCTACACTGCAAAAACTGTCCACCTAACCAAGTTTTAAAATCTTATATCAGCAAAAAAGTCTTTTTGATCTTGTTTTGAGACTGATTTACTAAACAAGAACTGATTGTGTGAGAATAATAATCTTGTTTTCAGAATGTGTAAGATTATTTGTCTTGTTAGTCTGAAAATTTGACTCAAGTTAAGTCAAAAATTTCTGCCAGTGGAGTAAGAAAATTTTACTTAGTAAGATTCTTGAAATAAGAAAAAACTGAGTCAAATCAAGTATTTCAAGAATCTTACCAAGTAAAATTTTCTTACTCCACTGGCAGAAATTTTTGACTTAACTTGAGTCAAATTTTCAGACTAACAAGACAAATAATCTTACACATTCTGAAAACAAGATTATTATTCTCACACAATCAGTTCTTGTTTAGTAAATCAGTCTCAAAACAAGATCAAAAAGACGTTTTTGGCTGGATATAAGGTTTTAAAACTTGGTTAGGTGGTCAGTTTTTGCAGTGTACTTTGCCCATGTCTTTAAAATGTGTCAAACTCAAGGCCCGTGGGCCAAATGTGGCCGCATTTATGAGGCCCGTAAGAACTTTAAGGATGTATTGATGTCTTAAAATAGGTTTGTGCTTCTTTAAAGCCAGCACTGACCAGGAACTACATCTAATGCATGCTGATTATTTTACCCACAAAACAACAACATCCTACCACTAGTTGGAGGTACACAAAAGTAGCTGGCAGCCAGCAAAATTTGACCTGTAAAATCTCCATTTTGCTCCACTTTCACTAGCTACTTTTGCTGTGGTCCAGTCATAGTGGGAAGCGGAAATTTCCCATATACAAGTCAAAAATTCAAACTGGAAAGCCGCTCCAGTGAGAGTGCAGAACTCAAGGCCATTACCAACAGTGAGAAGGACTCTCTTACTTTTACTTTTAATAGTATTTATTTCTTTCACATTTAGTCAGTTGTAAACTATGCACAAAATACCACATAGAGCTCAGGCATTGTTCGTTAGCGGTGCTCATCTGTAGCTATAAGACAAGAAACAAGAAGTTTCGTGTTCTAGTCGTAGTTAAACACGAAATGTAAACGTTAATAACTGGTTCTTTGAGAGCCGCCATAATTCTCATGTGGCCCTCACTGAAAATGAGTTTGACCACCCTGCTTTAAAATATTAGTTTTGTTTACCGTGCAGGGTTTTTGTCTGTTTATTCTGTGTAGCCTTTCTTTAAAGCTTTGCAGGATGTACAGGCAGTGGAATTTTCTCTTGTGAGGAAACAACGTACATCATAGATCTGTCAACACAACAAAAGAAAACTCTTTTAGAGCCAAACTGACCTGCCGACAAGGAGGAACTCTCCAACCAGCCCCTGACGTCTCATAGCCATGAGGATATTGCGGACAGTCATGCCTTCACAGAAACATGCCACCACTCTGGCCTTGGGCAGGTGTGCCCTCAGTCTCTCCAGCAGACGATCAAAGCTCTGCTCGCCGGCGTTGCTCCAGATTTTGCCTGAGGGGGATAAAAAAGCCAAACGCGTTAAACAAATATAAGTCTGTGACCCATCTGATTTATTTATACCTCTGTTTCTTCATCTGAAGAGTTTCTGTTTTTGTAGTAGTAGCACGTCTTTTATTTGGCTCCGGTGCCAAGCACCTGACACGTATGTGAAGTGGAAACCTTCTCTGAGGATTAAAACTCTTGTTTTACAACATGACTTTAATTACAAGATACCCCTCATGTCTCTTGTCTGCTGGAAGTAATTAAAAATTATGTGCAATTCCATTAGCGTTGACAACATTAGGTGTGGGAGTAAATGGACAAAAACAATAACTGTCAAGTGTGCTCGTCTCTATGCTAAAACAGCACTTCTCAGTGGGTGTAAAAATGTTAGCAGTTTTAGTGTTTTCTTCAAATCAATAATAAACTACTCTGCACTTTTTTTGTAATTTGAATGAATACACAGCATAGGCATAATTAAGACAGATATTGCTGAATGTCCTGTTGTTATTTTTATTTTATCTCCTACCTGAGTGGGCGATGCAGATGCCCTCTTTAGCCGCCATGTCCTTAAACGCTTCCATCCCACTCTCACCATAGTTGCCTGGAATAATTGCAAAACAGGACACAGGTTAAAACACAATGGGTTTGTGGTGAAACTTTAACAACAGCTTGTAGAGAAAAATGATTGAATGAATGGATGGAGCAGAGAAAAGTTGGCAAAGATGAGATTTAGAAAAAAATATATAAACATTTCAACTCGAAATCCTCGTCATTTAAAAAAAACTGTTTCCACTGTAACTTGTCTGCTTCTGGGCCACCCGTAGCAGCTCAAATGTCTGTCAGAGAAAGCATATCCCCAATGTGGCACCCCTTTCTTTGCCAGAGAAAGTGGGTGACCTGAAATTTATGCTAATGGAGGGTTGTGCACATTGGCAAAGAAAACGATAGGAATCCCCTCTCTAATTTCCAATTCTCTCTACTTTTATCTTCTTCCCTTGTTTTGTACTCATCAAAAAATATAAAAGCCCTCAAACTCTTTTTTTTTGTGTCTTTTTAATACCTGATGTGTTTGCGGTATGTGATTAGCATCCAACTGCACAGATCAATGACACCAAATTAGAGCCTGGCATCACTGATCTGTGCACTACAAAAACTGACGATGAGGAAGATGAACAGGTTAAAGACAAAGCAGAGACGTCCAGCGAGAAGAAACCAGGGATGACGAATCGTTACGCAAAAAGAAAGCATAGACAGAAGAGAAGGAGAGAGATGGAGATGAAACACCGACAAAGAGCAGATAAGGGTCCATAAAGCCAGTCCACGGTACATTTCAGTGTGTAGTCAGGCCAGTGCTGAGGGCTGGTGGAGTGAAGTGTAAAGTCCTGTAATTAGTGTCTCAGTGAGACGAGTGGGAGACAGATGGTACAGACCGTCCTTCCCCCTGTGCACTTTCAAACGCACACATGCCCACACACACATTCACACTGGCACCATTAACATAATCTATAGAGCTTGTAACCTTCTTCGCTCAGGCCTCGGCAGAGATTTATGCGTGTGACTTCTTTCTCTTTCTATCAGCCGAGGAACTTTTCTTCTCAGGTTCTGACTCTCAAACACACACGACCCGTCTTCTGTGATGTTCAACAGTATCAGCATGCTGTCCCACAAACACACCTCTGCCTTTAAAACAAGCCACACGCCTTGTCCACAAACCCTTTCATCAACCTGTCAGTGAGGTTTAATCCAGTCTTTTTAACTATTCTGTCCCGAAAAATAACTTCATTTGCTAGTTTTGCCTCTTTTTTTTTTTTTCAGTAGACACAACTTCATGTTGATTTATTCATTTGAGAGTTGGGGACTGTTTGGAGAAAAAATAATTTACATAATATACAAGTCAACACAAAGGTGCTAATGGAAAAATCTATGCATAATTTTTGTAAATAACAAACCCACAAGAAAAACTGAGCAACAAGCATTTCAGACCAAATGTAGAAAAAGATATTTTGTAGAATTTGTGCTGATTAATGGGTGAACAGAAAACACCTGGGAGAGCGAGATCTGATCCCTGCTAATGTCTGTTCAGTGTCAGCAAAAGAAGGAACGACAGGTCTGTATTTTAGCTATTTTGTGCATTTTAAACATCTTTTTCCAGACTTTCAAGTAAAAACCTTAAATAAATTAATATTTCTTCCCTTTATGTTCTACACAACACCCTTCACTCTCTTATTTAATTATTTCTCCTCATTTACAGCAACATAACAATGTTTAACTGAATGGAAATATATTTTTGAACTAAGCAACACTTTGGTTTAGAGACATTAGTGGTTATTTTCATCTCTCGTTTTGAAACTCTCCTTCTAAACCACCTAATGGTAGGTAATCATTTACAGCATCTCTATTAGATATTTATCTTCCTCCCCAACTTTGTCTTTCTTTTCTGTTCCTCTGTTCCTCCTGTCTAAGCCTGACCCAGAGAAAAAGGTTGCAAACCTGTCATTTGTATTAAAGGCACCTCTGCTGTCTCCTATTAGTCCTGACCTTTGTTGTTCCCTTATCTTCTTCCAGATCCCCTCAAATCCTACATCACAGCTGCTGTGCTTCTGAAGAACAGTCCTTGAAAGCAGTATTTGGCAGTATTTAGCAGTTTTTGGCAGTATTTAGAAGAGCATTTTCACTTGAAAAAAATTAACTGTAAATTTAACACTAAGCTTTTTCTTGCAGCTGCTGCTCTTCACTGTCTCACTGTGATTGATTAATTATGAACAAACATGGTCGACCGCCAATTTATTTAAATTGCCAAAACTGACTGATAAAAATCAGTTGACTTTCACCATTTATTACTGTAGTAGGCATTTAGTTTTGCATTCTTATTTCCCATATTTGAATGTGTAATCACTTGTTAAGAGTGTTATTAAAACACAACAACACAGTGTGTGATTCCCAAACCCCTCATAAACTGGCCCGTGAACTCAAGCCATTCATTTCTCCAAAAAAGAAAAGGAAAAAAAGAGGAAAAAAATGTTATAAGCTGACAGAAACCAAATCAGATAAAACTAAATAAAAGAAAGAGATACAGAAACCACAGGATCAACATCAACAAACAAGACATTCGAAAATGAGAAAAAGACTAGAAGAAAGCCAAAGTAAAGAGAATGACATGAAGAGAAAGTTGATTATTGGGTATTGATCAGCTGTAAGAGTGTGGTTTGTTGACACCAATAAAACCCACTGAGCTAAACTGAGAAACAGAGTAACAACAAAGGGATTTGGTGTAACGCCGGGTGATTACACGTGTGAATAATCATTACCGTAGTTTGTTTATGACTCGACTAATAATAGGTTGGGATTAAACGCTGAGACTAAATATTCACACTTGAACTGCGGTACATGTAAAGGTTGCTGCGATACTATAATTTTCAACTTAGTGCCGTACTCAATGCAATTTCCATGGGAGCAAAAAGGACTAATTAGGATAAATAAAAGTTAAATAAGCGGGGTTTCTAAAACATTTTTTTCTGCAGCAGCAGAACTGGTGTTCATTTCAGTAGAGCCTGCATAAAATTTCAGAGATCTGCTTGAGCTTTTTGGCAACACAGTACTGATTTTTTTAAATAACTGAACAATTTACAAAGCTTACAAAACTCTTGTTTTATTTGAGAAGCAAAATGTCACAAGATGAAGCAATTTTCCTAGTATTCTTTCCCTTTCATTAAAAACAAACAGGTCTTTCCAAGGCTCCATTGCCAATTCATGACTGAAGTACTCGTCGGTAAAGCAGTTCAGATGGAATAAACATTAATGCATCGAGTAGCTCGTTAGCTGCTCTTTGAACTGTGGAGCGCACAATTATGTGTAGCAACACAAACATTGGTCGAGAAAACAACTATGAAGTAAACAGCTTTCTGATGCAAGAGTGTTGACATGCTAAAAAAAAAATTCTGTAGTGTTTGCTCGGACGGTTTGAACTTTTTTCAGTTTGAGACATTTCCGATGCGTAAACCTGCTCGTCTTTTTTGTTCTCTCTGCATTAGTTACAGCTCTGCATTTTATTTGAGATTTTTAGTCATCCCTATAAAGATATACATGGAGCAGACATGTCCTGTTTTATGCTGTGGATACAATTTAATTTGAACAGTTTACAGTACACCCTCTACACACACACCAGTGTTTTCATACACACACATCTTTTATTTGCGTGGTTTTCTGCCTATTTTATATGCTTCCAATGTTTTCTATTCTCTAGTTTCATTCCCATTTATCTCCAAACTTTCCTTTTTCTTCCTCAGTAACACGGTTTTTCCCACCAATTTACATTTGAAATTAATTCATATCCTTAATTTTTCTATTTTATTTTTGCCACCCTTTTGTTCTTGCTTTTGGTGCCACAGAAATCTAGCATTTTACAAAGGACCACCCAGTGCTAAATAATAAATACAAGGGTAAAATTTTCTCACTGAGCTCAGAGATTACCACTTCTCTGGTGAACTTACATACATATGTTTGGCACACGAATGCAAACACGTGTGAAAATCCGATAAAGAAAACTTCCTCTTCTTTATGCAAAGCTGTTAATATACAGTGTATATATATATATATATATATTTTTTTTTTTCAAGCTCACAAAAAACAGTTACTATATATGGAGATCAGTCAGATGGGAAATAAATAAATGTTACAGTGGTTTGCAAAAGTATTCATACCCCTTGAACTTTTCCATATTTTGTCACATTACAACCACAAACATAAATATATTTCACTGGAATTTAATG